TCTGATCTGTGTACACATATTGATTTATTGATGATGATGAAAACATATTGTTGTTAAAAATAGATTTTTCTTTCACATTAATTTTTTTTTAATTTAAATCTGTGTCTGATCTGTGTACACATTGATTTGTTGTTCATGACAAAACATAGTGATTATATTGATTTGTTGTTGTGCTGAACAAAATTCAAAAAAAAGTTCGGGGATTTTTCGGGGTCGGGGAAACCCGATCCCCGTTAGGGGACGGGGAGTTGATGGGTTCCCCCGCTGGGGATCGGGGGCGGGGACGGGGATTTTTGAGCCTTCGGGGATCGGGGGCGGGGACGGGGATTTTTGAGCCTTCGGGGATCGGGGACGGCGAGTGTAGTCCCCGGCCCCGCCCCGGCCCGTTGCCATTCCTATTTGCCACCAAACATAGTGGGCATAAAACAAACATTCGTTGAACTGTTCCAATTCAAACAACAAGCCTTCATTCACAGGCATTCATGCAGTTTAGCAAGTAAGCATATAGCCTCATAGCAAGCATGCGAATCATGGCAATATGGCAATCACCCTTATGCAAGTATGTTAAAGCGTAAAACTCACCGAGTACTCCAAGCCAAAACAGAAACTAGTTAGAAAAAAAAAAAAATACATGATCCTTAACTATGTTAAGTGTCTAATGCAACACATGCAATATGCAATTAATAGGCTCGGCTACTATATGGAATATGAATCGATTTGAACAGCATGCGATTAAACATGTATCCAAAGAAGTATTGAAAGTGTAATGCGGTTTGAATGATGCTCCGAGCCTCGGTACATGCAAGACAAATGAATGGATGCAAACATGCAAGCACAAGGTATGCTAATTGAAAATGTCCCTAATCTAATCATCAAAAGTGATTAAATAAAAGGGAGAAATTCGTGGGGTTGGAAGAGATACACAAATGCATGCACACTTATTACAACATTACGCCCTCACGAGGGAGAGTCCGAATGAATAAAAGCTAACTAGCTAGCTACGCTAATTAAGCTAAGCTAATTATTACAACACAATATTTAACTAACTACTCTAAGCTAATTAAATATTACAATTCTTAACTAACTAATTACAAAGCAACTAAGTTAATTAATTACAACACGAATTAAACAACTAACTAACTAGACAAGTTAACTAAATGGCCTTGGGAACTGAGGGATGCATGCATGCTCGGTTCCTCTACCCGAAAAGCCACAGTTTTGCTGCTGTGAGCCTCTGTTTGCACATTTGAACACCAAAAATTTTGCCAACTTCCAAAATACGTTTGCTCTACCTCAGGAACACACTGTGCAATTTCATTGGTGTCACCTACCAAAGGTGGCCGGTCGGCTACTGGTGGTGGCCGGTCGGCCACTGATGACATGAACTCCTCTTTTTGCTGCAACAGAGAGCAGACAGAGCAAAATAGTGTATTCTCACAGGTTTGTGTGTACTGTTTACACTCCTTATCATCAAACAAACTCAAAGGAGTGAAACTGATAGCTCTCAAACCACCAATCAAGCAATTTCCATGCATGATGGCCAAAGAATCAAGTTTGTACAAGTTTAATGAGTGCAAAACAAGACTCAAAAACACCACCACCCTATCATGCATGATCAAGGGTGACGGTGACCAAGGAAAGTGGCACATTTCATCACTTTTGAGTATGAAATGTCTCATTTTCCTTATGTTTGAATTAACTTTCGGTTCGAACACATGCAATGCAACATGAAAGATACTTATCATGCCTCTTTTATTTGTCCAATTTTGTTTACTCATTTTAATTACCAAACCATTCTTTAGTCAATTAGTCCACTGGTGAGTGTCCTCTAATGGAAAGATGGCTCAAACAACAAGTTGCTTTGGGCATGAAAGAGGCATTACACTGTTGGTAATGAATCCCCTAAGGGATTAAACCATTAGGTGCAATACCTCCATTTCACACTTAGGCAAACAAGAGGTTTAAAAGCCACTTTCAAAGCAAACAAAAGAGTAAAGAATGGAGGGAGATTGCAGAGGTTTTAAGTGCTGAAATGAAGTGCAAAACAACACTAAAACATGCTATTAACTCAAAACAATGATAATTGAAGCATTAAAACACCAAGCTAGTGAAGGAATTAACACTATAACTATGCAAAACAAGCCTCAACTGAACTAACCAGTCCAAAACAGAGCCAAAACAAGTTATTTCTGAGGCAAAAACATGTTGGACTTAAGCCACAAAAAGCTAAAATAAGAAGCTAACATGTGAGGCTAACTAGGCATGCAAACAAGACACAAGGAGGGGAGGCTAACCCTTTCAATTTTGGACTTCAAAAGTTGATTTTTGCCACTGAAAAACCTCTGAAATTCAGTGGTTAAAAGGCCCAAAAAAGTTGATTTAAAAGTGATGAAAAATGGTACAAAAGCTTAACAAACAAAGGAGCAAGAAGGGTGGACCACCCCCTAACTCAAAGAGACCTCAAACCAACGCTTTTAAGTCACAAAAATAGAGTTTTTGACAGTTCAAAATCAGCTCAAAAACAGTTGGAAAAGATGGTAAAACAAAGATACAAAACAAGCTTAAACAAGGTAAGTATTATACCTTTGAAGCAAAACACAAAATAGCCAACAATCCAAGCTCAAACCACCTTCCATCGCTCACACAAGACTCTAGGTAATCTTAGCCCAAAGGTGAGAGTATTTGGTTAAGGGTTGATATACAAAAGCTAATGACTTATAAGCAAATGTGTACAAAATATCAAGAGAGAGAGAGAATTCTAGAGAGAGAGAGAGAGAGAGAGAGAGATATTTTAGCTCTAATTTTTCTTACCCTCCAAAAAGGGGAGAACCCCCATATTTATAGAAAAATCACCCCTTGAGCTTAGAAACATCTCACCATACACGTGTATGGAGATGCAGCTCAGTGTGCAATAGCTGGAACAATTGTCAATAAATATCTGGAAAAAAGCACTGGTGGCCGTCGGCTACCATTGATAGCTGCCGACCGGCCACATCCACGGCCGAAAGCCTTGGGTGGTGGCCGACAGGTCACGAAGAGGTCCAGACACCAAGTTTTGTTCCAAAACAAGGCACAGAAAGAACAAGGTTCAAAGGCTCAAAGACAGGGCATTCCGCCGAGGACTTTGGACACTCAAAATGAACACAAACACACACTCATTGAGTCACGAGCGATGAGGTCTAAGTCTTGAGGATGGTAAAAAATGGGGTGTCTACAACCCTCCGTTTGGTTGTCTAAATGAAATGGTGAATGACTTATGAATTGAGATAAAATAAATTGAGAAATAAAACTCGACATGGCATGGTTTTGTGAAAAGGATATAAATGATTTCATCATGGGCACTGAATATGTTTATCATACTTATATCTTTTATAAGATTCATACATCATGTTAGATTGTTTCTACTGGGCTTTGGCCCACCTTATTTGGGAAAAATCATTTTCAGGTATCGGTGATATGCCTCCGCCAAGACAGTAGCTTGAAGGGATTTGGAGCAAGAGCTTCTCTTTTGTTGTATTTATTTTGTATAGCCAAGGGGTTTAATTGTGTTGAGTTAAACTCATTTTTGTTGTAACTAAGCAGTGACTTCAAAAAATGTAAACCTTTAGGGCTTATGAATATCTGTTTAGCCTTCGTTCCTTTTTATTACCCGTAACACATGCTGTAGATTCAGGATGATCTATTTATGAATGTATATCGCATGTGTCACATTTTGTATATTAACTCTGATTAATGGAAGCTTATCATTTCATTTATGTTACCTTGTATTAGTTGTCTTGGGTTGGATCATTATAATTATTTTGGGGCGTTACATGTATAAATAATTCAAAAAGAATATTAAAAAAAATCAATATATACTTAACATATTTAATTTATGTATTTTCTTCTTAATCCAATCACAACATATTTCTATTTAATCTTTTAAATAAATTTTGTGTAGTTCTAATTCTACATATTTTTATTTTCCAACTAAATATAAAAATAAAATTAAAATTATACAATTAGAATTACTTTTAGTTTTATATTACTAATTCTTTTTCTAATTTAATTATTATTTTTAATATCAAAATGAGCACTTATTTTAATAATTTTTTAAGGTCCTGATATTAAGATTTTATAAGATAAAAGACCTACAATATTTTCATAGTAATTAAGGTTTCTCAACATTTCTACAGAAAAAATTCAACTCAAAGAAATTTTGCTTAACTTAGAGAAATTTCGCCCTGACTCAGAGAAATTTCAATTTTTATAGAGAAATTTCTCTGATTTCACAGAAAAATTTTGCAATTTCTCTATGATCATACCAAAGAAATTTTGAAATTTCTCTGAGTCGAGACCAAAATTTCTCTGAGTCGGGTGAAATTTCTTTGAATTGAATTTGTTCTGTGAAAAATGTTGAAGGACCTTAACTAATAAAAAAAATATCTTGAACCTCTCCTATTACACAAAATTGGAGAGGGACATTTCACTAATTTTCCATTTATTTTACTATCTTATAATAATATATATCATATAAAATCATGGAAAATTTATCCATAAATCCTATTTTCTGAAAAGTTGAACCATTTAGTCCTAAAAGTTTTCTTATGCACCATTTAGTCTCATTTTATTTTGGTAATGTTGTTTATTTAATAATCATCATCAACACCAACATTATTCATCAAACAAGGATCGAACATCACCAACATATATACCCATTTGAATGTTAAGACCCATTTATCAACATTATTCATCAAACATTAAGATCCAGCGAACATCAAACATCATCGTCGACATCAACATTATCAAACGTCAGACCCATTTGAATGTTTGATGACGTTTGACGCCGTTTCATCATCATCGCTGTTTTATTTGACGGTGTTTGATGTCCTCGACAAGGATCGAACGTTAGACCAAGATCTCTGTCTCCGGTTGATCCAAGGGCCCTTTTGTGGAATGTCTGTTTCCTAAAAATCTGCCACATCATAAAAACATCACCAACAACATCAATTACATCACCAATGACGGTGGTACTGGATCGGTGTGGATCGGCGGAGGATTTAGACAGCGAGAAAGTAGAGAGAGATTGGTGTGGAGGCGCTAATGTTGGCGATGTTGATCATGGCGTTGATGTCGCTGATGTTGATGATGGAACTAATGTTGATGATGTCGATGATGGTGCTAATGTTGATGATGTCGATGATGGCGCTGAGGTTGATGATGTTGATCATAGCACTGATGTTGATGATGGATCGGCCTTCCAGAAATGCTTCCACTTGAACACATCTCCGAGTTCAATCCCGTTGATTCTGGCAGCGACCTTGAAGAAGACGGTTACTTCTTCCTCTTCCTCTTTATTGGTTCCATTCATTCTGTTTGATGTTGTGATGTTTGCTGTTGTGATGCTGTGTTGTTGATGATGTGATGACGTTTGATGTTGATGATGATGATGTTTGATGATGATGTTGTGATGTTTGATGTTGTTTTGATGATGATGTTTGATGTTGTTTGATGATGATATTGTGATGTTGGATGTTGTTTTGATGATGATGTTTGATGTTGTTTTGATAATGAGGTTGTGATGTTTGATGTTGTTTTGATGATGATGATGTTTGATGTATATGCCCTCTATGGTCAATTTCCCTATAATGGGACCTTTCAGTCTATAAGAAAACTTTTAGGACTAAACAATGTATAAGTTGTTAATTTGGGATTTATTGGTGCATCACCCTAAAATCATTCTGTGGTAATTACACTTTTATAGCACAATATAATTAATGTTATCAAAATAAATAAATAGTTTAACTAAATTTATTATATGTAAGTATTCAAGTAATACTTTTATATAACAATAAGGCTAATATTATTAAATGAAATAATTTAAATAAAAAATTATTTTAAATTAAAATTTATATATTTTTTTTTGTAACACATATTATAGTATAAAACATCATTATTAATTAAAGTTAGCTTCAATGTAATTTTATGTCAGACATCATATTTCTAGAATTCATTTACATTAGGGCTGTGCAGCGGATCCACCGACCCGCCACACCCGACCCGACCCGACCCCCAACGGATGGATGCGTGCCACGTGGCGGGCGGATGCGGGCCTGGTTTATGACATTTTTTGGGTTCGGGTCGGGTGGCGGGTAACCCGCCATTTTAGCCACCAGACCCGACCCGACCGCCATTGGCTCTTTTTTTATTTATTTTCGGCTGATATGTGCTCTTTTCCCCCCCTTTTCCTTTCTGATGCATACTCCTCTTGTCATTTTGCCCTAATTTTTGAAGACAGCCATTCTCATTCCCTCCCTTTCTCTCTCTCTCTCTCTACCCTACCCATCGTCGGACGATCTACACGGCGTCGGCGATCATCTACACGGCGTCGGCGATCCATCTACACGGCGTCGACGATCGATCTACACTACTTACTGACTGAGGTATCTCTTTCTCTCTGCTTTCCTCTTCTTCTGATCTAAGTCTAATCTGTTTTTTTTTTGTTCCAGTTCTAAAACGAAATAGATGGTTAGATTGATCGATCTATAGTCTACTACACTCACTGATTGTAACTGAGTTACTGAGGTACCTCTCTCTCTCTCTCTCCTTCTTCTTCTTCTTTTTCTTCTGAATCTTAACTTTTTTTTTTTTTGGTTCCAGTTCTAAACTTCTAATCTTTTAGAGTCTAATCTATTATTATTATTTTGTTTTGTTCCAGAGTTAAGGGTTTGGTTTATTGTTTTGTTATTATCAGATTATTATCTGTTTTGTTATTATCAGATTATTATCTAATCTATTATTATCTATTTTGTTCCAAACTTGATACACAGTGTTAAGGGTTCTACAGAGAAAGGAATACAGAGAGAAAACCACAGAGAGGTTTGGAACAATCTCTTCTGAATCTCAATTTGGTTTATTATCTATTTTGTTATTATCAGATTGATTGAACAAACTGTTCTAAACCAGATTGATTCCAGTTCTAAACCAGATTGATTGAACAATCTGTTTTGTTATTATTATCAGCCTTTTATTTTATTCTTACTTCTATTATCTCTTAAAATACTAACATAAATGTAACAAATTTTATTATATAAATCAATAATTATCAAGTTGAGATATAATATGGATTTAACTTAGGACTGGTAAATAATTTCTTGATCTTGACAATATTAAAAGGGAGGAATAGGTTTAAAGTGAAGTTTTTATGTCAGAAAAATATCTCTAATACTTGAGTTAACTTTAATTGAGACTGTGGAAGTATGGGCAAAACATTTTAAGGTTAAACATTCTTTCAAACATTGAGACATAATTTACTGGTTTAAACAAGAAAAGTAATGAATTGTTTGAGATTACTTAGAAAAATTAACGAGATTTAAAAACATGTTCAAGTTTAGTGTATTTATCTTTCTAGTCAATCCCAAACAAGTTTCAATCAAGATGATTACTAACCGAGCTCTAACAACTAATTTTTATACAATTCTATAATTCATATAAACTTATCGATCCAAATTCAAAAGAAGAAAAAAGTTTAAAATATGTCCCAACTTAACTTGTTTTCAATTTTAAATAAGTGTTTAACAAGTGGAACATAAATGTAAGCTTGAGTAACTTGGTCTGTTTTACTACCCAAACAACTGGTTTACATTTTTTTGGGTGGGTAACTAGTTTACATTTTTTTAGGAACATTTGTTAGAGCCTCTGTGTCACCCAAAACATGATCAAGAAAAGAAAACAAAAGTGTCTTCAACTGAAATGTGAGAAGAGCCATTATTGACTAAACCTTTTTTTTTTCTTCCTAATCACATCATTAGTTTAGTCATATTCTCAACCTTTCTTTGTCATATAATTTTAGTCTTACTTACCAGAAACAAACATGATTATCATTTGGGCTCCACACTAATCATTTATTTGCAAGACAAAGCTTATATATCATATTTAATTAGAACTATATGTCTGCAAGTTCATGTGTGGTTTTCAACATTAAATTAAGATTTTTAAAATTAATTGTATGATCAAAACTGCACATTCTATATCTCTTTGCTTTAGAGCACCATTTGTGATGAGTCCAATTATTCTATGAAATTATTTATATAAAACAGACTAACTTTTCAATATTTTCCATCACAACATGGCCTAACTAGTTCCTGCATATAGATTTACGTTAACATATTTATGCTATCTGAGTAAACTACTATCTGAGTAAACTGCTGTAGCCAACATAGTTATGCTATCAACAAAGATTGAACAAATATGTGGCTGTAGATGTTTCAGTCTATAAAAGAGTTCTTTACTTAACTGATGATTTTATTTGGAAATTTGTGTTAGAGGTTCTACAATTGACATGACATATTCCCAATTACAGGTTACTGAAAATTACAAAGATTTGGCACTCTCAGATTATGCACGAGTAATTAGTGAACATGTAAACTAATCTCATTAGTCAGTGAACTAATCTTACTTAGTGAACATTAGTTAGTGAACATTAGTTAGTTTAAACTTACTGATTCATCTTACTTAGTTTAAAATCTCATTAGTTTGTGAACTAATATCCTTCTTAGTTTAAACTAATCTCTTAGTTTTTCAAAAAGAGCATGGATTTGAAAAGCATATTTTGAATGATTTTTTATTGGTTGTTGGCAGTTTATTTGATAATCTTTTGGCCATGGATCCTCCAAGTGAAGAAACTTTTTTTGTGAGTCCTAATGTTGAGCCCGAATCATCTTCTATTGACCTCTCTACCCAATCTAATGCTCCCCCTCGTAGACCACCCTTGGCCAAAACTAGTAGTAGTGGGAGAACAACATCAAAGGCTTGGGATCATTTTGAAAAGATTAAGGGCATTGATGGGAAAGATAGGGCTATGTGCAAGTATTGTAAGAAAGAATATATAGCAGGTTCTAAGAGTCATGGAACAAGTAATTTGTTAAGTCATTTGAAAAATTGTACAAAGTATCCATATAGGGATACTCATGGGCAACAATCATTGGGATTTAAACCTAAAGAAGTTGGTGGGGAGGATGTTGTTGATGTTGTGACTACGCCATTTTCTGTAGAAGTTGCTAGAAGGCATCTTGCGGAGATGATAGTAATAGATGACTTGCCCTTTAGATTTGTGGACGGGGTTGGTTTTAAGAGGTTTTGTAATGTCATGCAACCCAAGTTCAAGATTCCATCTCGATATACCGTTGCTAGGGACATTCTAGACATATACACCAGTGAAAGGGAGAGGTTGAAAAAAATTGTGAAATGGCGTAAAATTTGTTTTACCACGGACACATGGACTTCCATACAAAATTTGTGTTATATGTGCCTAACTGCACATTTCATTGATGATGATTGGAAGTTACAAAAGTGGATCATAAATTTTTGTCAAATTGAAGACCACAAAGGAGAAACTCTTGGTAAAAAAATTGAGGCACTTTTAAAGGAGTGGGACATTGATGGCCTTTTTACCTTAACTGTGGATAATGCGAGTTCCAATAATCTAACCATTAGATTCTTGAAACGAACAACAAAATTGTGGAAGGGAACTATCTTGGGCCATGAATTTTTACACATGCGTTTTTGTGCGCATATTCTAAATCTTATTGTTAGTGATGGATTGAAGGATCTTGAGTCTTGTATAGTGAATGTGAGGCATACAGTGAGGTATGTGAGGTCTTCTCCAAACTGCCTTGACACTTTTAAAAAGTATGTGGAACCTTTGAAAATTGAGAGTAAGAGCCTCTTGTGCCTAGATGTGTCAACACGGTGGAATTCAACATATCTTATGTTGGAGGCAGCAGAAAAATTTGAGAGTGCTTATCAAAGAATGGGTGAGGAGGACTACAATTACAAACACTACTTTTTAGATAATGAAGGGGGTGAGAGGAGAGAGATGCCTACAGCCGAGGATTGGGATAATTGTAGGGTGCTTTTGAAATTTCTTAGAATGTTCTACAATGCCACAAAGAGATTTTCTGGGTCTTTATTTGTTACTTCAAACACATTCTACACTGAAATTTTTGTCATTGAAAATATGATTGGACAACTAATCAAAGACAATGATCCTATTTTGTCTTCAATGGCAAAGAAAATGAAAGAGAAGTTTGACAAGTATTGGAGAAATGGGGATAAAATCAATCTACTTTTGTATGTTACGGTTGTACTTGATCCTAGAAGAAAAATGACATACTTGCAATTTTGTTTTTCAACAATTTTTGGTGGAGATATGGTGAAAGTGAAAGAAATGTTAGACAAGGTCAAAAATTGTTTGGGCAAATTGTATGATCATTATGCCACACTTGAGCCAACAAATGTGCATGTCTCCAATGTAAATGAAAGAGTAGATATGGTGATAGATGAAAATGACCCACACACTATTGTGAACTCTCAATTTAACTCATTTTTGGAGGGCCAATTTTGTAGTAGTGGGAGTATGTCGGAATTGGACAAGTACTTGGGTGATATTGAGAAAGGTGGGAATAATTCTTAATTTGATATCTTGGAGTGGTGGAAGGTTAATGCAACAAAGTATAGAGTATTATCACTTATAGCACGAGATGTGTTGGCGATGCCTATTTCCACTGTTGTTTCTGAGTCGACTTTTAGTACAGGAGGTCGTATACTTGATCCATTTCGTAGTTCACTTGCTCCCAAGATGGTAGAGGTTCTTGTTTGTGCACAAAATTGGCTTCGAAGTAACTTTCCAATATGCCTTAGACAAGCAATAAATGATATTGAAGAATTTGAACAACAATATGATTCGGGTAATACATTCAATGATTTATTTTGTTTTAAATTTCATTTATTTTGTATTATTGAAAATTCATTATTTTCACTTTACATGTTTTACTTGTGTTATGTTTTATGTGTAGTTGTTTCAGAATCAAGTTCTTGTTCAAGCCCAAGTCCGGAACCTAATTTTATTGAAGTTTAGTATTATGGTAAAATACCCCTCCCCTTTGCTAAATGTTGTTAACATATGTTTATTTGTTTTAAGTTTAAGACTTTTTAGTGTTTTCCTTATTAAATAATTTCATTTTTTTTGTTATGCAGGTTTAGATGGTTCATTTCATGGTTTGGCTTAAGGAAATTAACGACTTTTTGCTTCTTTTTGGATGACTGTATTATTGTTTGGATGACTGTATTATTTTTTTTTTAAAACTTTGGATGATTTTCAACTTCCAACTTTGGGATGACTGTAATGAATTATGTTTTTGCATTGCCCACTAGAACATTGAACTTTGGATGCCCAGGAGAAGATAATGGAAATTGATAACATGTCATGTCTTATGAGGTTTGTTAAGTTGATGCTTTTGTGGAATTGTTGAAGTTTTCATTGTGTATGACATGTTTGTGCATGTCATGTCTTATGCTGTTGATGCCTAGGAGACCTATCAAATTTATGTATATTTGTGCAATGTTTTCTGGTCTCACATCACATGTGAAGAAGATGAATGGCAGATTTGCTGCATATTGTTAATTGAATGGCAGATTTATGAATGGCAGATTTGCTGCATATTGTTAATTGAATGGCAGATTTATGAATGGCAGATTTGCTGCATATTGTTAATTGAATGGCAGATTTATGAATGGCAGATTTGTTGGGGTTTTTTTTTTTTTTTTTTTTTTTTTTTTTTTTATTTCAGTGATATTAATTGAATTTTTTCCAGGCCTTTTTTTTTTGTATGTTGAAAATTTGAAAAATTTCAAACCGTCAAACCGATTCGCATCCATCTGTTAATCCGCCAATCCGCCAAATCCGCATCCGCTGGATTGGCGGAGGGATGCGGATTGATTTTCACCAATCCGCCAATTTGGCGGACGGATGGCGGATTGGAGGTTTCATGGCCGCAACCGATCCGCGCCCACCCCTAATTTACATACACATGTAGTATCCAATTTAATATTGATTGATTAAAATAATGGAACTCAATATTTTTTTGTTAAGTTTTTAAAAGATAAATTGACAGAAAATGTAAAATGATAAATAATGTGGAGTATTATTAAAAAATAATAATTTATCGAAAATGATTGTGTATATTTAAGACATCTATTGATGTTTCTTGAATAATCTTTAAACAAAATTTTTGAATTTATAGTATTACTGATAATGTACTTTCATGAGCTCTGCCAAAAAAAATATACAAAAAATAATTTAGCTGGAATAAAAATTTTGTGGTTATTATGATATGTTACATAATTAATCAGAACTCGTTTGAGAACTAAAATTATTAAAGTTATAGAGATTTTGTGCCTGATTCTCTTTGGGGACAATGTTTATGATTTAAATTTATAATTTTTTATGCATCAATATGAATAACTCTTACGATCTTATTGATGTAAGCATAAATTTTACTTTTGAGTCAACTAACCTTAAGCATTTTTTTGTGTAATAAAATACTTAAATATTGTCTTATAAAAATATTATTATACATTACAATCAAATATCAATTGAAGTATAATTAAATAATTTAAATAAAAAAATTATTAGTATAAAATATCATTATTAATTAAAATTAGCTTCATTGTAATTTTATTGATATAAGCATAAATCCCACATTTGAGTCAACCAACCTTAAGTATTTTTTCGTGTAATAAAATACTTAAATATTGTCATATAAAAATATTATTATACATCATAATCAAATATCACTTGAAGTATGAGTAAAGACCCGATACACCACTTTAGACATAAAAAAAAAAAAATGTAAAGACATTTTCAATTAATAACCAACATAATACACCATGAGTTATAACCAAGTCATAATTTATATATTACAGAATTTTCTGTTATTTTTATTTTTTTTAGAAAATATTTTAATACACGTGAAATTCATGATTTTTGATAAATTTAATTGATGCAAACGAGGATTTGATTTCAGGTTGAAAATAAAAGAAATTATTTTTATGAGCCTATTTTACATAAAATCGTACATAGTGATAACAATTTTCATCAACCATTAACAAATCTGTTTATTTTTTACTTCATTTGTTAACATTTTCTACACATAAATTATTAAACTCAAAATTAATTTTTTATTTTTAAAAATAAATTCTCATACATCACTCACACAAGTCACCTACTAGTTATTTACATAAAACCAATCCCGTAGTGAATTTGTTTTCACGAATGGAACATATTGACATGATATTTGTTAACAACTAAAAAAAAAAAAATTGTTTGGTTTGTATTACGATGGAAACTATCACATAAAAGTTTAAAAATATCGAATAATTTTTCAATGTAAAGAGCTAATATGTTTGAATGAGTTGAAGCATTTTATAAAAATAAAAAAAAATAAAAAATAGCCAAAAAAAGTAGAGTTATTTAAGTTGTGTGGATAAGTATACAAGGTTATTGGAGAAATATTGTCTGTGTTTGGTTTGAGTATTTTGGATTAAATAAAATTGAGTTTTTTTTGTTTTTCGTGTATTTTTTATTTTTAGTGAATATTTTTAAAATTTTAAGAATTTTCTTTTTTTACTTTTTTAGATGCACCTTACTTAAATATATATAAAAAGTAAAACATTTGTAAAAAAATATTTTAAAAAATTAATAAAGGAAAACTTGTCAACCCCTTTTTGATAGTTGAAAGATACTCCTCCTTGGTCTTCTACTCATACTGCTATATGTAGACGTCCCCGAACGCCCAGGGAGGGTGAGTCCCGTTCTGTTCGTTTTGGGCTCACTACAGTTTGGACTCTCAAATTGTCACGGTTCTTAATCTGAACCAAAGAGTCCAAATCCGGCAAATCATTTTGAGAAATAGATTTTTAGAAAAGAAGTACCAAACATGGACTGTTTTGCCAGATACAGAGTCGCCACCTAAATATTTTTTATGGGAGAATTTAGGAAACCCTGACTCGGTGCCAAAGGGCACGTGCCCGTCATCACCAAAGTTGCCTCGGCTTGGGAACTTGGGTACGATTGGGGAAGGTCAGCTATGAGCATCCCCTCTCGCCCGATCAAAGATCGGCCTCTACTAACCGTGATATCCAGTTTTGAAAACGTTATGTGTTCTTATTCAATTTATTAGCCTAGAATTACTATGTTATGCGCGCAGCAAACAAGTATAGACCAAATCGCCTAAATTGGAACAAAACATTACATGTTCGTTTTGAAGATGGTTTGCTACTCGCAAGTAGGCTAAAATGCAGGTTTTGCCACCCTCGAGTAGGCTTTTAGAAAAGATGGTTTTGCCACCATCTAGTGGGCTTAAAACTCCCAGTTTTAATGCATTATTCCAATTTAGGTAATTCAACCTCCATTCACAAGCATCCAAGCAGTTATATCACATAAGCAGCTAGCCTCATGGTAATCATGCTGTTATGGCAACACTCACACGCATGCGGTATGCTAAAGTATAAATACTTACAATGTACTCCGTGCCAAAACAATAAACTAGTTAGCAAACATGCGTGATCCTAGTTCATGTTAAAGTGGCTAATGCAATGCATACAGAATGAGATTAAGATAGGCTCGGCTAATCTATAATGACCTGTGAAATGCTACAACTAATCACGTATTCAATTTGGAATTAAAATACAAATGCAGTTAGAATGATGCGCCAAGCCCGGTGCATGCAAGACAAGTGTGTGAATGCACGCATGCATAGCATAAGGTATGCTAATTTAAATATGCCCTAGTCTACCATCATAAGCGGGTAAATAAAAGGGAAGAAAGAAGTGGGATTGGAAGACATACACACACTCACGCACACTTATTACACAATTGCCCTCGCTCGGAGGGTCCAAAAGAATAATACAGTCCGAATAACAAATCAACTATCCTAACTAATCAATTATTACGGACCCTTAATTAATTAACAAAATAAATGCAGAAAGAAGGTGGCCACAGCCGTGCCTCGGGATACGCGAATGATGTATGCTTGATCCATCTTGCCCGGAAACCCGTACCATGCCACTGCTGCCTCTGTTAATGCTGCCCTGCTCCTCTGAAAAAATGCCAAAGTCTTGGGATATGTTCTATGCACACTGTAGAACAACATCGGCTAAGGGAAATAACCACCGGCTATGGGAAATTTCCATCGGCTGCTTTCAAGTATATCGGCCACATATTCTTTGCCGGTCGGCATTAAACACTGCCGATCGGCCACAAATTCCTGCTAGGACCTGCAGTTGACAGCAGCAGAGGGCAAAGCAGTACATGGCATGAATTTTGAGCAAATGTGAGCTTGGTCACACTCCCAATCATGCAAGAGACTCAAGGGAGCGTGACCCTCGACCTTCGGGCCATCAATTGTGCATTTTGATGCGTGATGGCCTAAGGAGCCAAGGTTGCAATTCAATGAAAATGCATGCAACAAATAAATGAATACCAAAACCCCATCATGCCAAAGTCAAGGGCCTCGGCGACCGAGGGTTGAGACGCGTTACATCACTTGTAGTATGAACACTTCTCCCCCCTCACACTTGGTTTGACACCCCAAACCAAGCAATGCAATGCATGTTATGCAAACATGGCTCAAA